GTAAGTGGGCGGGGTCCGTAAGATTTCCGGAGTGGATTTTGGGCTTTCCAGAAGCGCTTTCTCACTCCAAACTCCACTGATAGGTTATTTGGGGTGTCCGCCACTACAAGGATGTAAAATCCCGATACCCACCAGTTTGAGGGGACGCTGCCTTTAAAGTGCTCATAGAAATCGCAAAAAAGTTGTTTTAGGAAATCTGCGTAGGACGTGGATCTACCCTGCAGTTGCTGTTTTGTGACCCAACCACTGGAAAAATCAAGGTGAGATCTGACATCCTTGCTATGTACTAACTTCAGATTTCCCATTTTGCGGTGTTCGGCAGGATTTCTTTTCTCAAGTGGAGAATTTAGGTCCTGTGTAGTCATGAAGTATTCGGAATCATACGATCGCTGATGCCATTTAGGCTCACCGGAGGAACGAAAGGTAATTTGTCTTTTTATGATCATTTCAGTTATACTGGGAATTATGCATTCATACGTAGTTCGAGTGTGTTATTCCACTATGATTTTTTAGATTACATCGCTGTTGGTTCCGACTCTGGCCGAATAGTAATTTTGGAATACTCGAGCGAGAAGAATTCTTTTCAGCGCGTGCACCAGGTCCAAACATAAGAGTAGATTATATCGGTTGAACTAAATTTGTGTTTTAGGAAACGTTTGGAAAGACAGGATGTCGTCGAATAGTTCCGGGTCATTATTTGGCAGCGGATCCGAAGGGAAGAGCTATCATGATAGGTATGATCTGGTCTATGAACTCATGCTCGAGTTGGTCGTCAACGAACCTACAACTTTTCAGGTGCTGTTGAGCGGCAAAAATTAGTGTACATCATGAATCGTGATGCCGAAGCTCGGCTTACTATTTCATCTCCTCTGGAAGCCCACAAGCAGTACACTTTGTGCTATGGTATGGTGGGAATCGATGTCGGATTCGAAAATCCAACCTTCGCATGTCTTGAGTTTGATTACGAGGTAAATTTGGAACATCCATTATCTGCCCGATTTCATCTCTTTATTCTCTTAGGATGCTGAACATGATCCTACCGGCGAAGCGCTGCAGACGACGAAGCAGACTTTGACTTTTTACGAACTTGACTTGGGTCTTAACCACGTTGTGAGAAAGTATGCTGAACCTCTTGACGACAAGGCAACGATGATTAT